AAAATTTGAAACATCTAAAGCACTGAAGAATAACTTTTAGAATATATATAAATTTTGTCTTCTAAATGAATATAGTTGAGTTACTTTTTAAAAAACTATTTCATACCTGATTTCAATTTCATGGTAAACCTACGTGAAAGGAGTAGAGATGGTTTATATATACTTATATGTTTAGATTACATTAAAAACATCTTGAGGATTTGTATGGTGATATTACATAGACAAAGATACTATTAGAATTTGTGTGAAGGTTGCTTTTGTAATAGCCTATCTTTTAAATTAATATACTGCCAAAAATCTAGTATCCAGTCTGCATGGAGCCAAGCAGAGTTAATACATTGCTTCTCAGCAGTGGATTAGCAAATGAAAAGAGGTGATCTGAACCCTGTTGAAGAAAATAGGAAATGTCAAGAAAATACTCCCACCCCCTTTCTTTTACTCTAGGCTTTTAGATCTTTGTACTATGGGGCCTCTCTGGATACATCCTAAGAAGGCCTGTGCTTTCGTCTCCAGGCAAATTGATAGAGCAAATTGAAGATTGCTGGTAGCTAGTTAATGAGCAATAGCCTTGCTCTCACTAGCTTCCTGCCCTGCCCTTCATTGAATAAAGACTTTCTTTAGGGCATCTCTGCTAGAGTTGGTTATGGGTTTGTTGTGGTCGTGTTCCCCCCCCCCCATAAGAAGACAATGTAGGTGAGCCCCCTGCCCTAAAATATTAATCTCTTGACATTCCACCATTCTGGTTTCACTTTGGATTTTTAAAAGATTTGGTCTTTGAGAGACCTCCTTTAAAATGCAAATAACCCTTGGGAGAGGTCAGACCCTAGTTCTCAGCTAACATCACAATTATCAGTTGGTACCTTGGTTGACTCAGTACATATGTGGCTGAGAAGAATGGACCCCTGCATAAGTATGTGGAGAAAGTGAAGTAGACAGAAACTAGTAATGATAGCTGCTAAGATGCACTGAGTGTCACATGACTAGTATGCACACGTACATTCTGTCTAATCTTGGTATTATTATTGTTATTATTATTATTATTACTGATATACCCGTAACCATTATGCTTCTCAAAGAGGGAAACAGAAGTACATGGCGCTTAAAAAAATTGCCCTCTCATAGTAAATATGGCATTAAATCAGACATTATGCCTCACTGAGATGGCATTTGAACAGCATTCACTCTTTTCGCACTATTGCTTAAAATGGAACCATGCTGTTAAGTGATAACTTCTACTTCCTGTGGAAGGTCACAGTCCTCCCATCATCTCAGTGGATTTTTTTCTATATAAGAGTTTCAGTGAAATAGACAAATTCATTGTAACCAAAAGAATATGTCTGTGAAATAAAAGAGGAAGGAACTAAAGGTGAATTATATAATTTTGCACATACATTTTAATCCATCTTTCTGAGCTTTTTTTAAAATTTAAAACCTACTAGTCAAGAAACTTAGTCATTACTTTAAAATTTTTGAAAGTGTAGGTTAATAATTTCTGTGTTTTTTCCAGTTGAGGTTTCTTCTCTGAATGTTGTATGTAAATGTTCATACCACTTAAAAAAAATTTTAATTGAGATTTGCCATTTAACTCATAATTGCTCCAACTCCAGAAATCCTTGGTAAAGGACCAAAGAATCCACTTCCTAAACCACATGCATCTGGAAACTCTATGAACTTTGATAAATGTAGATGGTTATAGAAAGGCTTCAGGCCTTTTGATCATAGAGTCACTATGAGTCAGCTCCACTTACTTGACAGCAGTCAATAGCAACAACAACTGATATTTTAATAAAAGTTTATAGAGAACCTTGGATTTCCATTCATTGATTGTTACACATTTTTCTCCCTACACACCTCCCCCCAACCCACTGTTTGCTTTTCTCTTTGGAAAAAAAAATTCTCTCATTGTTGCACAATTTCCTCACCCACCCAGTCCACTTTGCTATGCAGCTCTTATTCTAGACAGTTGTCATACAAATAATACCTAATTAAATATTTCTTTTAAACAGGTCTTTCTGTCATCTGTTGCAATGCAGTGTATTTATCCCCTCTTTTCTTAGTTTCCCCCAACCCCCATGTTTTACAACACAGGCACTATGCAGTATTTGTCCTTTTGTGACTGAGATATTTCACTCAGCATAATGTCCTTCAGAGTCACTCATTTTGTATAATATTTCATGGGTTCCTTGTTTTTCAGTGCTGCATAGTATTCCATTATGTGAATATACCACAGCTTCTCCATTCGTTTGTTCATGGGCACTTGGATTGTTTCCATCTCTTTGCTATTGTAAACAATGCAGCAATGAACATAGGTGTGCGTATATATTTGTTGGGGTGGCAGTTCTGATTTCTTTAGAGTATATTCTCAGTAGTGGAATTGCTGGGTCAAATGGTATACCTATTTCCAACTTTTTGAGAAAGTGCCATACTACCTTCCATAGTGGTTGCACCATTTTACATTTCCAGCAAAAGTGAATAGGGTTACAGTTTTATCTACCACCTCACCAGGATTAGTTGTTTATTAAATTTTGCTATTTTTACTGGAGTGAGATTATATCTCAAAGTTGTTGTAATTTTAATCTCTCTTCGAGCTAGGAATTTTGTACACTTCATCATGTGTGTTTTCACCATCTGTTGTCTTTGGTGAAGTGTCTGTTCATATCCTGTGCCCATTTTGAGATTGAGTTATTTATGTTGTTATGGTGCTAAGTCCCTTATCAGACATGTCATTACCATATATTTTTTCCCAGTCTGTGTCTTTCCTTTTTGCTGTGTTGGAGAAGGACTTTTGATGTGCATAGGGATTTGATTCTTAGAAGGTCCCTTTCATCAATTTTATTCTCTCCTGGTTGTAGGTCGTATCACTGCTTTTAAGAAGACTATAGGATTATGTAAGTTTTCTTCCTTCATCATTAATACCTGCATAGAAGTTGAACTAAAAATTATTATATGATTTACCAAAATCATTTAATCTTGCATATGTCCCAAGTTAAATAGTAAAAAGGGCCCTAAGTTTTGCCTTTAATCTTGAAATTCAATAAGTTTGTTCAGCCAGTGCTTGCTTGTTAGCACTAATTCTACTGCTGGTCCTTTCTTTGTGTAAATGCTGCTACAACTTTAATGTCTTTATAATATTTCAACTATATGTCAGATGCAGAAAACTCCAACTCATTACAGTCTAGTTGGAACCAACTCATAGCAGACCTTCTGTTAGATTTCTGAGGCCGTAAATCACATGGAGGATGTCCCATCTTTCTCCTTCAGAGCTGCTGGTAGATTCAGACTGCCAGAGAGGCATGGCCTCTGGGTTAGCTGTACACTTCCCTACAGATTTGCCACCAGAGTTCCCCTGAATTATTGTTAGGTGCTGTCAAGTATGGCTCATGGCAACCCTGCGAATAACAGATCTGAACCCTGCCCTGTGCCATCCTCTCCTCAGTGTTTCTGACATACACAAGCCCATTGCTGTAGTTACTGTGTCAGTCTTTCTGGTTGAGGATCTTCCTTTCTTCTGCTGACCCTCTACCTTTCCATGATGTCGCTTTCAGATATGCTGTTCATAGATTTGCTGAGTTCATAGGGTTTCAGGCAATCTGAGGGCACATAACATTTTTTTTAATTGAGATTTTAAGTTTATAAAGAACTTGAATTTCCATTCATTCATTGTTACACATTTTCTTCCATGCCCCCTCTCCCCAACAACATTTCTGACTACTTAAAGCAGAAGTGTTCATCAGGTGATAAAGGGGCAAGTTTAGATCAAAATAACTAGACTTCTTTTTTAAAAAAGAATTGAGTTTACAATTTCAGATAATTTTGAGGCCTGCTAATATTTAAGAGAGAGCTCTAGAGTGGCGTAGTGGTAAGGAATTGCACTGCCAACCCAAAGGCTTGTCAAAATCCACCAGGTGCGAGGGAGAAAGATGGGCAGTGTTGTCATGTGCTGTTAACTGTTTTCTGGAAACCAGCTGGAGGGTCAGCTTTGAGTTGGTTCTGACAGTATAAACACAGCAACAGCAATACTTAAGCTTATTGTGCTGTCTTCCAGTTCATATTCTTTATCCTCTTTATTTTCCATCCTTCAATTTTCCTAAGAATCTCTTAAAACACAAAAACAAGTTTCTTGTCCTTTGTTCTTCCTAAGACAAATTAAGTCAGCATGCTTTGTTGTTGTTATGTAACCGGCAAGTCTAAACTAACCAACTCTCCAGCCAGTTTTCAGAAGCAGTAATCACATGGGAGGAGAGTGCCCATCTTTCTCAGAGTAGCTGGTGGATTCAGACCTTGAAGGCCTTTGGATTTATAGTGCATCTTCTTACTACTAAGCCACCAAAGATCACCGAGGGTGCTTCTTGTTGTTGTTGTTGTTGTTGTTGTTATGTGCCGTTGAGTCGCTTGCGACTCATAGTAACCCTATGTACAACAGCCCTAAACTCTGCTTTGCCCTGTGCCAATTGCACTGTCTCTGATAGACGGATCCCGATTACCCCAGTCACTGAATCAGTCCACCTCATAGGGGTCCTTCTTCTCCTGCGTTATCCCTCCACACTACCAAGCATGATGTCCCTCTCCAAGGACCGGTCCTTCCTTACAACATGTCCAAAGTATGTTAGACAGAGCCTCAGAATCCTTGCCTCCAAGGAGCCAACTGGGTTTAACCCTTTCCAGGATGAATCTGTTTATTGATTTACTAAATGGAAAGCCAAATTAAATGGTAATTAGAAAATGTGCTTTTTTTCTGATCATGCTGTTATGCGCTATCAAGTCAGAACCAAAGGTATCTAGTTTGAATCCACTAGCTGCTTCACGGGATGATGGACAGTCTGGTCTGGAAACTCACTAGAGGGTCGACTTTGGGTCATTTCTGACTTGATGGCACGCAACACCAAGTGACAGTCCAGAAACTAGGAGCAAGTTCATCACATTATTTCTTGGAAAATATAAAGTTGAAATATATTGGCTATTTATTTGCATGCTGTGAAAAGTTGTATTGTTTTGTTTAGTTTTCAGATGCTTTAAATGCTGTGAACAGAGGCTTGCTTGGATTCTGCAATTCTCAGCTAGACAAAATAAATGCTAACAATGGATAAGTGCAAACACGTTGGGCAGTTGAGGCTTGCTCAAGATCACTCCATACTCAACCCTCAGAAATGGCATTGTGTGGACTGCAATACAACTGAGTCCATTTGGGCTTGCCTTAGCTGTGCTCATGTTGCCTGTGGAAGATATATTGAAGAGCATGCGCTCAAGCACTTTCAAGACAGCAGTCATCCTGTTGCATTGGAGGTGAATGAGATGTATGTTTTCTGTTATGTTTGTGATGATTATGTTCTTAACGATAATGCAGCTGGAGACCTGAAATTACTACGAAGTACATTAAGTGCAATCAAAAGTCAAAATTATCACTTCACTACTCGCAGTGGAAGAATTTTACGGTCTATGAGTACAAATGATGATGATTATTTCTTACATGATGGAAGGCAATCCCTGCTTCAAAATGAAGATCAAATGTATACTGCTCTTTGGCACAGGAGAAGGATGCTAATGAGTAAAATCTTTCGATTTTGGTTTGACCAGTTACCCATTGAGAAAAAAAAGCAAGAGCAAGTTCAGGAAAAAGTCACAGCAAAAAGAGAAGTAAAGAAAAGACGGCAAGAATTTGAGCACCAAATGAAAGGAGAATTGGAAATTGTGTCACCAAGAAAGAGTTTGCGTTTGCAAAGTGTAACACCGTCAACCACAGTAGAAATAATTCCTGTTCAAGTCCTGCCACAAACGCCGCCATCACCAGCAAAAGATAATATAGTGTCTACCTTAGAATTTGTAGAATTTAGAAATGTCAGTGACTCCTCAGTCAAACGAAAGCCTCTTGTAACTCCTGGTGTGACGGGATTGAGAAATTTGGGAAATACTTGCTATATGAATTCTGTTCTTCAAGTTTTGAGTCATTTACTTATTTTTCGCCAATGTTTTCTAAAGCTTGATCTGAACCAGTGGCTGGCAGTGACTGCTAGTGATAAGACCAGAGCTGCTTACACGCCTTTATCAGTCACAGATACCATGTTTCAAATAAATGAATGCCAGGGAAAAGAGACAGGTTCTAGTGGCTCCAGACCTCCAAGTTTATCAGAACTAAGTGGTGGTACATCAAAAATTAGAAAGATGGAACTTATTCAGCCAAGGGCGCCCAGTTCACAGTATATTTCTCTTTGTCATGAATTGCATACTTTGTTCCAAGTCATGTGGTCTGGAAAGTGGGCCTTGGTCTCACCATTTGCTATGCTGCACTCAGTATGGAGACTGATCCCTGCCTTTCGGGGTTATGCCCAGCAAGATGCTCAGGAATTTCTTTGTGAACTTTTGGACAAAATACAACATGAACTAGAGACGACTGATACGAGGTTCCCAGCTCTTCTCCCTACTTCTCAAGGGAAACTCATCAAACAGGTTCTGAATGTTGTGAACAACATTTTTCATGGACAACTTCTGAGTCAGGTATGGAGTTTTAAAATTTTTACTATTTTCATCTTGAGTAATTCACAAAATGAAGCCTTTAAAATGCTTTTTTTAAAAATACATCAAATATGTTAGACCTGGTATTGTTTTCAAGTCAGAATGGGTATTTATAATAAAACGTGTATAAAATATTCACCTATTTGTAATTGTTTCCTTCAATCAATTATTTCCAATTTATAAATGGAATTGCACTACCAATGCAGAGGTACTTAATTAGAATCTGTCAGCTGCTCTGCAGGAGAAAGATGGTTAGTCTCCTCTCATCTTATTTATTACCTCTGAAAACCTGCTGGAAGGTCAGTTCTGACTGGACAGTACTCAGCAGTTATAAATAGAAGTAAAATTTGTGACCATTATACCTGTAGAAAAGAAAAATTACCTCTTTGTCTCCTAATCCCTGCAAGCTATAGATTAAGCAGTACATGTTGTTGTTGTTGTTAATATCTGACTGTATGCATCTCTGGTCTCTTAAGGTTTGTTTGCTTGTTTTTCTTAAGGGCATGCAGCACTTCTTTTGTTTTTTATTGTCTCCTAATGATTTTAAATAGGGAGCTCTGGTGGCCTAGTGGCAAGAAGCTCTATGCAATCTCGAATACACACAGTTAAAGGCCACCAGCTGCTCTGTGGAAGAAGGATGGGCAGTCTCTTCCCGTGCAGTTGGCTGCCCCTAAAAACCTGCCTGCCAGAGGGTCAGCAATAGGTTAGTTTCTGACTTTAAGGTACACAAAAACAACTTTTTTAAAGACCTCAAAGTTTCTAAGGTACCTTACAACAATGATTTTAAAGACCTCAAGCCCAGACTCTGAATTGCATTGGACCATACATAGTAGGATACTGGCTTCTGAGGCACAGGCTGTGACTCTGGGCCTGGACTTGTGACCTCTGCTTGATGGGCCAGCCTTTCCTTGATGTGCTGGTGACTCAACAAGGTTTATACAGTCTTTGCTTCCTTTGCTGCTCCCTCTTTGCTCTCCCTGCTCACCTACTCTTGTTCTACTGCCACTTCTGCCCTCTTAGCGTCCATTGTTGTCACTAATGCTCCTTCTTTCAGCCTCCACCACCAGCAGCAGAAGTGGGCAGCCAGAAGGTGTTCACACAATATCCAAATCACACAATATTACAGAACGTATCATGGATATTAAGCAGCACATAGCTGTATATACTTGTGGTTTTATGACTGTGCTCAGAATATTTCAGTGTGTACGTAATTTAACCATTCCCTTATTAGACTTAAAGATTATTTACAGTATTTTTATAAAATAATTACATATATATAAAATTGAAAAAAGATTTCTTCAAGAGTTTAAGAAGTAGAATTTCTTTGTTAAAACATAGGAGTATGACAGATTTTTTTCAGAAAGCTTGTTCCATTTTTTATTTCCAACGTTGTAAAAATTAATGTCACCCTTCTTTATATTGAATTTTAAAATAGGTAAGTTGTAAAGCCAACTTTTTGCTTCTCTTCCCTTTAAATTTGTAGTAAATAAACTCTAAACAGACTGGCTGCTTTTAGAGATTCCAGCAGTTGTTTAGTGGAATGGTTGGTTTTGGTGTTTTTGTTTTTTAAATTCAAAAAACTTTTTGAAAGGTTAGGCTCTGTTCCTGTTAAGTTCCCAGACCAAACATTGGCTGTGTTCTTTTCTTTGTATCTCAGATCTTTAAGCCATGTGCTAGAACTGTTTGTTGTTTATGCTAGTTACGTTGCTTAGATGAAAACATTTCTTTGTGGTGTTTCATGTTGTGTTACGTGTATGGATTATTAACTCTAAGGGGTTTACCTTCACTTGTGTCCAGTGCTTGTTGACATTAATTCCAGCTGATTGTTTCCCTAAAAGAAGTTACTGTTCTTTTCCTTTCTAATTGTTATGTTTAAATTCTTCTTTTTTATTATTATTAAATTTTATTAGTTTTAATGAACATTTACAGAGATTTGGGGTTTTCATTCATTCATTGTTGCACTGTTTTCTCCACCCTCCCCAGTTCCTTCTTCTTTCCCCCCATGTCTGTTTTAATTGTCCAATTGCCACAGTGCTTGTCAAAGCCAATTCTGATTAATCTCCTTTGTCAGTGTGTCCCTTGCCATTCCCTATCACTCCTCCCTGAGAGAGACTTCACTCTGATTCATAAGGAAAAGGGGATGGCGTATTCTCTTAGCTACTTCCTGCTGAAAAGGGACTCTGTGGGTTTCAGAGTGAATGTCTTCTCTCACTACTCTAAAGGGCCCCCTTGGCAGGAAGCACATAGACTATTATGGAGATTGATTTTGGAATTTAGATGCACTGTTATCAGTTGTGCTTAGCCGTACATGTTCATATCCTTGAAGATGTATCATGGAAGTGTTGCAGCCTAGAAGATACAAATTTAACTAACAAGTTAAAAGTACATGAGTCAAAAATTGAAAAGCAATAATATTCTGAGTAGAGGTTCTAATAGTGGCACAAATCAAGTTACAGAGGGTAAGGTGGTTCCATTGCCATCCTTACTCTAACTTAATTCTTTTTTTTTAATTTAAATTTGTTATTAATTTCAGTGAAAATTTACAGAGGCTTTGGATTTCCATTCATTCATTGTTGTAGATTTGTCCCCTCCCAAGGCTCCACCCCACCAGACATTACCCTCTTGGAAAAGTAAAAGAAAAGATTCTTTCATTATTTTACAAACCCTCCCCCAGGTCCACTCCACCATGTAGCCCTCGCTCTAGACTCCTGTCATGACAGAAATACCTAATCACATATCTCTTTTAAACAGTTTTCTCCCTTCTCTGTTTCAGTGCAGCATACATTATTGAACCCATCTTACTCAGTTTCTCCCCAACCCCAAGGACAGTCCCATTCTACAACAGTGGCACCATGCAATATTTGTCCCTTTGTGACTGGGACATGTTTAAATTCTTCTAACTGCCCTATTTCTCTATAATACCAGTTTTTGGATAAGGATTTTCATGTATTCTTTAAGTGAGATAATGACCCCTACAGAAGCTTTAAGTACAAGAGTTTTAATACAGAAGGACAAATGCACATTTCTTTTGAAACTAGTAGTTGTTAGGGCTTCAAAATTTACATAGTAAAAACATTCTAAAAGTTTTGTGTGTGTCATGGTTAACAAGGTAGATTGAGTTAGGAGGTATAAGGATTTAGGGAGAGAAAAAAATTAGATACGGAAGGAGAAAAAGCAAACGCTTGAGCCTGAATATATAGTATTGAGTATCCATATGTCATAGATAAACCTGCTCTTGTTCTGTGCTGCCAAGTTGGAACTCACTCATAGCTGACCCTGCAGTTGGTTTTCAAAGACTGTAAATTGAATTGAAGGAGATTGCCCATCTTTCTCCTGAATAGTAGCTGATGGATTTGAACAGCCTGCCTTTGGTTTAGCAGCATACCTCCCTACCCCATCTCAGAGCTCCCTATATACATGCATATATATTTTGAATTTGAGACTAATTTGACAACTGCCCTTGGAGCTTAATTGAACCCTCAATAGTATAAGCCCACCAAGACATTGAGGGTTTTATGGAAATCTTTTAGAAGAGAAAATGGTAATAATTTTCAAATTTCCCGATATTTTAGTCTGAATTTTAATGGCATATTTTCAGATGAAAAATTTCTTTATTGATAGTGATTGCCAAAGAAAGAATAAGTGTTTTGATGGAAGGATTGTAATCTTGAGACATTAATATTTTCATTTGCAGGTTACATGTCTTGCGTGTGACAGTAAGTCAAATACCATAGAACCCTTCTGGGATCTGTCACTGGAATTTCCAGAAAGATACCAGTGTAGTGGAAAAGATTCTGCTTCTCAGCCATGCCTTGTTACTGAAATGCTGGCCAAATTCACAGAAACTGAAGCTTTAGAGGGAAAAATCTACATATGTGACCAGTGTAACTGTGAGTACAGACTAAAACTCATTGTCTTCTAATCTGACCTGACTTGTAATTGATCCTCCAGTGTTCCGGGGCAGGTTGAGGCATGAGAGGAGATTGCCTGTGTTTTTACTCCAGAGCTGCTGGTGAATGCAAATCACCAGAGAAGCAACACTTCGGGGTTAGCAGTTCAACTCCTGTTGCACTGTTGTCACAAGCATTGCTTACTGTCTGTGAGTACAATCAGAAAATTCTTTATGCTGTAAAAAGCAAATGGAGGGAGCTAGAGGAAATTTCCAAGTAGTAGTTAAAAAAATTATTTTAATTCATTGAAAGAAATTCATGAATTGGACACCACTATTTTATAATTGGCATTTACAAAGTATGTATTTGTTTTGCCTTATTGATGGCATTTGATGTCTTTTTGTTCCAGTTGCCATTGTGGAAACAATAGAGTTATAAAATAAGTTTAATCCAGGAGCCAGAATAAAGTAGCAAAAGGAAAGCATATTCTGTCTTGCTGAATGGAATGCTTGTTTTATGTATATTTTGCTGCACGTCAGAATAGTGCTGTAAAGAATAGATATGTACGTATGTTTGTTTTCTTATGTGTTTATATACATACACATATGACAAAGGAGCCTTGGTAGTACATAAGTTAAGCACTCAAATACCGACCGTAAGATTACTGATGCTACATCTTTCTCCTCCAGAGCAGCTGATATACTCACACTTTTGGTTAGAAACTGAGCATTTATCCACTGCACTACCAGGGCCCTTGACCTCCAGAGAAGCAGAGGGGACAATAGAAAAGAATGCCAGAATTCCACTCATCTAAGATAATGATAGAAGAATGCAAGCCACACAGTTAGTAAGGGACTTTCCAGTTTAGAAAGGGCAAAGGTCTGTTCTTTGGGGCCATTGTCCATCATTGAAAAGCTAAGACTTCATTTTCTTTGGCTTCTGTTAAGAAAAGGGAAGAACACAACGGCAGCAAAAGGACCAAAAGAACCAAACCATTGCCATCAAGTTAATCACAAATTATGTTAAACCTTTAATGGATTTACTAGGGTATAAATATTTACAGGAAGAAATTGTCCATCTTTCTTCTGCAGAGCACCTGTTGGGTTTGACCCACCACTTCTGAGGCTTGTAGAAGCCCGTAATATTAGACACACTACACCCTCAGAACTGATTGTTGTTATGTGCTGTTGAGTCCCTTACAACTCATAGCAACCCTACATACAGGAGCCCTAAATCCCGCTCTATTCTGTGCCATCCTTATGGTCTCTGACACACCTACCCCTGTTACCCCAGTGACTGACTCTGTCTCATTGAGGGTTTTCCTGACGTGTGCTGTCCCTCCAACTTTTCAAGCATGATGCCCCTCCTTCTAACATGTTCAAAGTATGTCAGATGAAACTTCAGAATCCTTGCCTCCAAGGAGTAGCCTGGTTTCACCTTCTCTAGGATGAACCTGTTTGATCTCCTAGCTCCATGGTATATTCAAAACTCTTCACCACCACCACAGCTCAAAGGTAGCAGTTCTCCTTCTGTCATCCCTAGCTCTCTGACACATAACAAGCAATTGTGAAGATTATGGTCTGAATCAGGATTAGCCTTAGTAAATTAAATGTCCCCAAACTTTTTGTAATGAAGAGGCTTGTAAGACATTATTTAAAGTATATTTATTATGTGTCATTGAGTCAGAACAACTCAGCGCTGACCCTCCACCAGGTTTTTAGAGGCTGAAAACATGAGAGGAGATTGCCCCATCTTTGTCTTGTGGAGCAGCTGGTAGATTTAAACCATGTGTGTTTGGGATGGCAGCACGGCTCCTTACCACTAGGCCATCAGAGCGCCTCCTATATTGGCTTTCATAAGAAAAAGAAAATAACCTTTCCAATTAAGTTGCACAACAAATCTGTTCTTAAATATACTATTATTGCTTTATTTACATGGTTACTATTACATCATGTACCTGTTTATATTTCCATCTCTTTTAATTATAGCATAAATTTCTGGAGGATAAAATCTGCATTTTTTTAATCTCTAGCCCAATAGTACAATGCCTGTTACAAAGTAGATGTTAGGAATGTATTAAAAAATTTGCCTCGAGTTTCCATGTATTCTCATATTTAATTCTCAGTCTCTTTTTGATATTACAGCAAAGCGGAGGAAGTTTTCCTCAAAGCCAGTTATACTCACAGAGGCCCAGAAACAGCTAATGATATGCCATCTACCTCAGGTTCTCAGACTGCATCTCAAACGATTCAGGTTAGTGGTATTCACAGTTACTTACCAACTAGTCTAATCTCTCTTAATCTGTGAACTCTGCTGAAAATTGTCCATCATGGGGGGCCCTCTGGCATTTGGAACACAGATGGAGTAGCATCCAGCATCACAGCAACCCTCAAGTTACCCTAAAACAGCGAATTGAAAGACAGGCGCTTACTACAAAGAGCACACCATAAATAAGCAAGCATATACCTATTTGAGCTACAAAGTAATTAGCAGCAATCATTCCCCAGTACAGTGAGCTGATGGGTTGGTGGTGTACCTCTAGCTGTTAACCCTAAAGACAGTAAGGCCTAATGAATATCATGGTGTAGTATAGCCTTCTCTGGGTACAGCTGAGGCCCACCGTGGCATAACAGGATAATCTCCCAGATGGGAATTTTTATGGCACAAGGGGTGGTTCAGCTGAATCTTTGGTGCTGGTGCGTGCCGCAAGGTCCTCAGGCCCAAAGATAGAAAAGGGTGGTTCCTCCTCTTCCTGCGGCGATACTGGAGATTCAGAGAGCAGACAGGCTTTTAGCACAAACTGCATCTCAATGCCAAGAGTACAGAAATCCTCAACACTGGGTCAGTGAGCAACATTGTATAGATGGAAAAAAGATTGATATACTTGGACCCACAATCTGCACACTTGGTACCACCAGACAGAAGATCAAGAAGCATTTTGCATTACGCAGATCTGTCAAGGGCCTCTCAAAATTACTGAAGAGTAATTGTGTCAACTTAAAGACTAAGGTGTGGCTGATTATAGTCATGATATTTTGAATCACTTGCTGTGCATCTGAAAGCTCTGAAATAGACAGTAAATAAGGATGATAGAAGAATTAAGGATGCCTTTGATCTATGGTCTTAGATGGAGAAGGGTGCTGAACATCCTGTGAACTACCAAAAGAATAAACAGATATGTTTTGGAGAAGGTGCAGCAGAATGCTTGTTAGTAGAGGCAAGGATGATGAAGCTTCATCTTGCTAGGAGGGATTATTCCATCAAGAGAGGACATCATGCTTGGAGAGTCAGTGAAGGAGAAGACCTTCAGTGAGGTGGATTGGCACAGTGACTGTCACAAGACACAAGGGGCTTGAAGTGTCAGAGATTGTAAGGATAGGATAGGACAGGACAGGGGCCAGATGTGTTATTTATTGAGTTGCTGTGAGGTATATTTTACTTGAAAGCACCTAACAACAATACTCACTAGTATTGGTTATACTTATTATTATTATTACATTTTATTAGTTTTAATGAACATTTACAGAGATTTTGGGGTTGGTTTTTTGTTTGTTTTAATTTCTTTATTTTTCATTTCAATGAACATCTACAGAGATTTTGGAATTCCATTAATTCATTGTTGCACCCCGTTTTCTCTACCTTCCTCCCCAGTTCATTCTTCTTTTTTTCCCCCCTTGAGTGTCTGTTTTAATTGTCCAATTGCCACATTGCCTGTCAAAGCCAGTTCTGATTAATCTCCTTTGTCAGGTGTGTCCTTTGCCATTCCCTATCACTCCTCCCTGAGAGAGACTTCACCCTGATTCATAAGGAAAAGGGGATGGCGTATTCTCTTAGCTACTT